ACAACAACAACAACATAATACAATACCTAAGGACGCTTGATCATAACTTGGCAGGTAAGAAGGTCAAAACTTTAACCTACCGGTATGTTGAGTTGCTATCTACAATGTTCTGGCCACCTTTGGAAAATGTGAAAAAGGAAAACAAAGGGGGAAAAGATATTATGGAGAGAGGAAAGAAGCGACGGAAGTGAGAGAAAGAGCCAGCTTTGATTGAGATGGCTGAATGCTAGGGAATTCTGGGAATTGTAATTGGTTGGGGCACTAGAGTGGAGACCAAACTATAAATCCCAGGATTCCATAGGAGGCAGCCACCTCCCTTAAAGTGAAACCATGGCACTGTATTTCTATAGTGTGAATGGGCCTCAGGTCTAATCTGCATGGCGGAAACAATGCAGTTTGACATCGCTTTAACTGGCGTGGCTCCATCCTATGGAATTCTGGGATTATAATTTGTTGCGGGGCCAGAGCTCTGACAGAAAAGGTCTAAATGTCACACAAAGCTACAGTTCCCAGAATTCCACAGCATTGAGCTATGGCAGTTAATGTGGCATCAAACCAGATTATTTCTACAGTGCGGATGCAGCCCATGAGTTGAATTGGACTCAAGGGCAGTTAACAACCACAACTCCTCTGTCCTTCTTGGGGATCAACTAGATAGGTTCTGGGGGATCCCTTCTACAGATTCTTCCAATTCCCCATCCTTCTCCTATCAGGGATCCCCTCTTGGCTTGTTAAGCATCACTAGAACGAAGGAGCCAAGTTTTGTTATCCTTTCGAACACTGCCTCCACCGAGAACCAGTGAGGCGCAGTGGTCTGAGTGCTGGGCCACAATTCTGGGAGACCCATGTTCGAATCCTGGCTCAGCCATGGAAACCCATTGAGTGAGCTTGGGTAAGTCACACTCTCTCAGCCTCAGGGGATGACATTGGCAAGCCTCCCTCTGAAAACCAGTCTTGCCAAGAAAACTCCACGATAGGTTCACCATAAATCGGACATAACTTGAAGACACACACACACAACACACATACAACACTTGGCCTTCGGACATGAATCCAACACCAAGGAGTTGGAGATTGAAGGATCCCCCCTCAAAAACAGAACGGTCATGGAAAATATTAGACTACATAGCAATGGACAAACTGGCATGTTTGCTTAGAAATAAATCACTGGATACATTTACATATGAGATACATTTAAGGAATACATTACAGATACATTAGAAGAAGTTTAAGCTGCCCTGATGTTAGCAAATAATTCAAGTTAGGCCACAAAAAACTACAAACAAGAGGCCAAGGTAGAATGGTTGCAAAGAAATAAGTGTAAAGAATAAAATAAATAATAAAATAAATAAATAATATTTATTTATTTATTTTAAAATAAAATAAATAAAATAAAATAAATAATAAAATAAGAAATAAGATATAGAACAGAGAAGAATAAGAAGAGTACAAGAGACATGGAATTATTAGAATCCAAAGTCAGTAGATGGAGCAGGAATATGCAAGAATGAATTACTCGGAAGTTGTTTTTATATTTCTATGTTAGGGTTTTTGTTAATGTTTGTATATAATGGCTGTATGAGGTGAAAGTAGAGAGCATGGATTCTCGAGGAATCCATTGTTTTCTGCCCCAAACAAATGTCACTGGAATGGAGACCTATTGGCTTGCAAAAGAGGGGTCCCTGTTGAGATGCAAATGGATTTTAAATTTCCTGGACTTTCCAAATCTCCCTATAGCCACAGGGCCAGGAGGAGGAGGAACCTGCCTACAAAAAAGATAGCCATATACCATCTTAACTAAAGACTGAAACAACATGTAGGCATCTGA